TGGGGTACCCACCAATATTCCTGCCATATTCCTTTTCAAGGGCAAATCAGCATGCTCTATATGTATATACATATATGCTTATCAGCATACTCTATATGTATATATCCTGCTATATGTTGGTTGGGCTCACCTGACTCTAGAGGAACTACATTGATAATCAATATAGCAAATAACAGACTCCTTTTTAACGTATGGGATCCTAGAAAGCCTCCATTTGGCTAAGGCAACATAGCCATGAGTATATTCCCCCTTAGAAGCAATCACTATCCCTGATCATTAAGAAAGGCATGCAGCAAAATGGTCCTAGCTGAGTACTAGAGAGAGGGTTTTTTGGGGTGCCCATGGAAGTTTTCTTGCCTTTTCTTTTTTTCCTGCAAGTGGGAAAAAACTTAAAGGAACACAGACAAACCAGAGAACCCAAATCCTATTAGTACACTTGATGCAATCACATCCCACCTCACTGTGCAAATCTCTGGAGACAAACTGCACCCAGCAATACAGAGCCTCCCTTCAGGGTGAATGGCAGGGTATATACAGACATGCAGTTTTCAAGTTTTTTGTCCCTTTGAAAAGCCCTTAAGTTTGGACTCCAAGTGGACTCAAGAAAAAGAAATGTGAATACCACGATTCTTGTTTTCAAAGCTCATTCACAATTATACTCTGTCCACTAAGAGCTCCTGACAGGAGAAAGTGCTATCACTGAAATGCCATCATGAGATGCCTGCACAATGCTTGGGTGCCAGAGCTGAACAGAATAGGCCACATGGAATTGGCCCCCATTCACCAAGCAAGATTTTGAAATAAACAGCTATGAGTTTTTTCTTTTTTTTTTTAAACTAGGCACACACACAGACCTGTCTTCAGCTGCTAACCTTAATATATTACTCATTCTTCCTTTCAAATAACGTCATTATCAAAACCCCAGTGACTGCAGAATATTTACTTGAGGCTGCTACTGCTGGTTTCTCCAGAGCTGTTTATTTTTCCATGCATGTGCTCATTACATCACGCTGTGGTTTTCTTAAAGGTTGTCACGGTAAGCTGGATACAGGCTGGAAATTCTTGCTAACTAAAACCAAATCACTAAGTAGCACAAATGAATGTGGAGATAATCCAACTCTGGAAGTGAGGAAAACCCCTGGATTCCTCAGTGGAGATGGGGTGCTCCTAAACAAGCAGCCATTACATTTCTTGAAAGTGGGAAACATTATCAAGTGTTTTCCTAGATTAAGAACTGTAAAAAAAATAATTTGGACTATTGCAGGCTGAAATGGGGGGGAGGGGAGGGGTTGAAACAGTAAAAGCAGAATGAAAAGAATGAAAAGACAGTTCCCAGCCATGCTGATTAGAGAATGGCCATCACCTCCTGCTCTGGCAGTGTTAAAAATGACACACCACAGAGGGGAGTGCTAAATGACTGGCTTAGTTGGTTCAGGGTATCCACGTGTATGCATATGTGGATGTGCATGTTTGGGAAATGGGAAAAGGAATTAAAAGCAAACATCAAAAAATGTTTTTGTCATCTTGCCACAGTAATATTGTGTTGATCTAGACCTTTCACTTGCCCCCATACAAAAAACTGACTTTGGGGCAAAAAAAACCAAACCCTGACAGACAGATGACATAGTTTGTAAGTGTAAAAAAACAACTTTTCTGCTGTTCAATAGTCCATATGTTCATATTTTGGCTCCTGCCTCTGGCTGAGAAGATTTGAAACTACATCTTACCCTACTGAGAAAGGGATCTAGTTGTCATTTAATTCTTTAAAGTGGGCTGGGGTAAACAGCACTAGCAATCCCTCCTAGCAATGCGGTTTTAGTGAGAGTAGAAAAACTCACTGGACACATACAGATTCTCAGTCAAGTGCTCTAATAATCACCAGGCTAGAGTCATTCTGCTTTTCCCGATCCCTAGCTTAATTAGGATTTACACATGCCAAGCAAAATGTAAATGCTCCAAAAAAAAGAGATCAGTTTCAGGAGAACAACCTCTGTTTGTCAGCACTAAACAGAAGGTAGAACACTCAGATTGCAAATGCAGTTCTTGAGATACAGGCTGCATATGCAACATGGGGAATTTACCACCTCTGCAATGCTCAGCTGCCTCGTGGGTGGTTCACCTGACATTGACCAGAGACAATGAGAGCAAACTAAAGAGTCTATTTGACTCCATACAGTAATTCTTAAATTCTCCTCACGGTTGATATAGTGACGGTGCTTACTTTCCAAGCTGTCCAATATCAGTGCTAATTAGAGAGCAGAACAGGTCCTCTGACAGTAGTATCTGGAATTCTCTTCACTGCAAAGGACAGTGCTATTTAACCAGGGTAGAAAGGAGTTACATCAGGGTTAAGCATTTCACTATACAAAACTCCAAGAAATAGAAGTAAAAGTTAGACTCAATATTACAAAAACAAAAAACCCGAAATTGAGTTCAGAGAACAGAGCAGCTTCCTGTGGGAAGAAGTAAAATCTTTATTATCTAAGGCTATGCTTAATTTATGCTACAGTAGAAAATGGTGCTCTTTGTACAGTATAAACATTCACTGGCCCTAAGGCAGTAGATTAGATGACCTACTAGGTCTTTTCTCACCTCCAGTTTCAGTGATCCCTTTAAACTACTGCAAGAGGACACCAGGATATATCTGCTTCAAGTCTGTAAGTGTAAACCCAGATAGACAATATAGCTGAGGCAACACCAAACCCAAAAATCCAAATCTTATGCCAGTAAAACTTACCTTAGCCCTTTAAAAAGAAATGAAAAATCAGAAATGTGCTAAGTATTAATATTTCAAGATGATAAGGGCCAAAAGCAATTAAAAACATCCCCCAACTTTGCATGCCCATCTCATGACAGCTGTTTCATCATCTACAGCCAAAACAGACTTGAAGACATTTGAAGAAATATGATTCTAAATTATAATCATACCCCCCAGCTCTTTACTGTTTGATCGCACCTACCTTATATTGCCTTTTAATATATATGACAAAGGATGAAAAGAATGAGATATCAAACAAGGGGACTAGGCTTCACTAGTTGAAAGAAGCAGTCCGAACTAGCCCACACAATGTCAGCTAAACAACAGTTCTAGGCAGCATTTCTTAATATCAATAATTTGCAAGGAACTGAGATGCTTGTGTATTTGTATGGCCTAACATGGAAATCTGAGCATAAAAATTGGCAATCTAGTCTCTTAATGAGAACGTACAGTAAATGAGTGTCAGAGCAATCAGTAAGTCTGGGTCAGATGAACCACACATCTCCTTTTAGCTTGCTGTATAAACCGCCTCTCACAGAACTCTTGAATTTTTCAGAAGATCATTTGTTTTTCATTTGTAACATACATTCACAATAATTTTGTTTGAATAACAGAATTGATATCAGAAACAATTGAAAAAGTGGACAAAAGCAAACTCACAAAAGGAACTCTCCCGTGGACAAAATTCCAGTTCACATCAGGCAGTTCCCTGACTAAACACTCAATGATCGCCTTTACAACATGAAAGGCAGCCTACTTTGGCTCTGTCAGGCCAAGAAAGGGCCTCCAATAAAAGACCCTCCTGCTTCCAAGTCTTTTTGTAACCTCTTAGCACCGACTCTTCTTTCCATTGCAGCTACCAGGATTGCTGCATTAGAAGAAAAGTTGGTCACCAAAATAGGTAGGACCCTTTACACAGGATTTTAATATTAAACTGTCACTTTCAATTGCCCTGTGAGCTGCTGGTTGTGCCAGAAGCTCACAAAACAGAAGCTGTATGTGCTTTCCCCTGAAAGACATCCTTAAAGAATGATGCTGATCCTCATACATCATCTGAAACTTCTGGATGATTCCCACTGGCAGATCTTACACAGACCACCCTGCTACAAAACCAGTTTGGAGGTGAGGCACAAGACACTTGTTAAAACTGTGGTCTGGACAATGATGGACATCTGCCTGTTAAGAGATCTTCTCCACTCTGCAGCAAGAGTATTTCATCCAACCTAGGACCAAGTTCACCCTGCAGCTGGGAAGTGGCATAGGAAGGCTAAAGGAACTGTCGTGAATGCTCTCTAGCTAATCCAGAAATACCACGTGATGAGACACTTCAAGATATTACAATCTATCTGTTCAGGTAACTGGAATTATTCCCAGCAGCCAGTTCTAGGCATATTTGTTTCATAAGAAATGAAAAATAGTAGCATCTCCTATTCAAACCTTAAAGTAAACCCATGGCTTCTTATGGTAATTTTGTTCTCTTATTCCCTTTAATTTCTTAATTTCTCCCACTTCAGTTAATATATATCAGACAGAAACCATTCTTACTAAGAATCCATAACTTTCCTCATCAGAGTCTCCAGTTTCTTGTGATTTCAATGACTCTATACCACCATTTCACCCTGCTCTCCAGTCTCAAGTTTTACACTCTAATTTCACATCTTCCTGCTTCCAATTTTCCCACTTATGTTCAGGATCTCTTCTTTGCCGTTTTTTTACGCTTCGGTTTTCCCTCATCCACTCCATTACCCACAAAATAATCTCAATATTTTCTTAGGCCCAGACATAAGTAACCTACTTTCAGTTGTGAAATTATCCAATCATTTCTCTATCAAAAAATATCCCCTGCAGAGAAGAATCTTGAATTTTCTAGAAAAGAAGCCCCTTTCTATATTTTTGCAACTGCTTAGACCAAAGCCACAGCCCAGATCTTTGAGTCAAATGCATCAGTTTGTATATCCATGCTGAACAGCAAACAGAACAAAGATGACAGATGGTTGGGGTGAATTAACAGATCAAGAAAGTCGAGATTCCCCAGTTATGGTTTGTGGAAACAAACACCCTTCATCACATTGACTATGGCTGTCTGGACAAAAATAAGGATGTTATCTGATATTATTTTATAATCGGACTTCAAGTCTCACAAGCATCATGATAGCTACCATGAAGAAAGAACGAAACAAGAATAGATGGTAAGGAACTGCAGACTAGTTAAAAGAAATGGGCTTTTTAGATGGAACGTTACCTGAATTTCTTATACTGGAGCCGTTCAATTTGGAATCTTTGATGACCAAGTGCTTAATCCAAAGGGTTGGTGCTGTGATTTCTGAAAGAGAAAAAATAACATCCTTAGAGAAACTAGAGCAACTAATAAATACATATGGTTGTTCATCAGACTCACATAATGGTTTGGGTTGGAAGGGACCTTAAAGATCATTTAGTTTCTACCCCCCTGCCATATGCAGGAACACCTTCCACTAGACCAGGTTGCTCCAAGCCTCATCCAACCCAGCTTTGAACAATTACAGGGATGGGGTATCCACAGCTTCTCTGGGCAATCTGTTTCAGTGCCTCACCACATTCATAGCAAAGAATTTTTTCCTTATATCTAATCCAAACCTACCCTGTCAGTTTGAAGCCATTAGCTCTCGTCCTGTCACTACATGCCCTTGTTAAAAATCTCTCTCCAGCTTTCCTGTAGGCTCACTTCAGGGACTAGAAGGTGCTATCAAGGTTTCCTCAGAGCCTTCTCTTCTCCAAGCCTGACAATCTCTGCTCTTTCAGTCTGTCTTCACAGAAGACAAAGCATTTGCTACGATCATGCCTTAACTGATCCATCATTTTTGTAGAGACAGGCTCATCTCCTGGTGAGATCTTCCACCTTTTATGAACCACCATTTGTAAATCTTCCACAAGGCTATCTCATTATCTTCCCATTCCAGGGAGTACCTCTCTGCTGGCAAAACATTTTTTTCAAATCCCTATATCCCCCACTTCCTAATTTCTCAAGTCTAAAGCCTTTCTCTTCAGGACTTAGAGATCTCAAAGACTTAATTGTGGCTATAGTATATTTTGTTTCTCCTGAAAGTACATACGAAACCCATATTTTAAAATAAGTCAATCCAGATCTTAAATATTGCTCTAACAGCCCAAGAAAAGCTGGCCACAGTCAGTTCCATGAAACAAGCAACAACAAAATCCGAAATAAATAAGCAGAGACATGAAGATATTTCTGGAAAGACTTGAAAGTCTTCTATTAAAGAAACAAGTCCTGGTTAGAAAAGCATGTCTGATGCACTAACCAAGACATCTAAACATAAATTTGTGGGAAAAAAGTGCTTAGAGCACCTCCTCTGAGGTGTGTTACAATCAACTTTAAAACACATAAGAACCTGCCCTAATCCACAGAAATGATACAACCTCAGCATTTGACTAGAACTGAGCAAAGCAATACTCGATACCATTGGCTAGAGTACCTCAAGTGGCATTTTCAAAACTGATACTTTTTGAAAAAAATTTTAGTTTCCACAAGAACACACCTTATATAGTTCCTTTAAGAAGTTTTTGCAAAAGTTTTTCCTACTCCCTTGTTGACATTTACATGGATCTGCTCAGCTAAGGGAGAAGCTAGCTGACTACAAGAGAAACTGATTATACATTACAAGAGCATGAAGGAAAAATAAAGGAATTTCTCCTTCCTAAGTATTTTCAGCTACATTGATTGTAGGCAATATAGTAATTGTGTTCAGGGCATTTTTTTTACAAGGAAATATTAGTTGAACACTGTTAAGCAAACTTTTGTTACTGCTGGAATATCAAAAATTGTCCTGTCTGCAGGTTTCACTACGCTATTTTAATAAATGGATTTATGGATTATTTCCATTTCTATTTTTATGCTTCTCCCCTTCTTAGGTCTTACCCAATGTTTAATTTGAAGTAGTTCTCCCAATAAAGGGTCAAAATCTGGGATGAAATTTAGCACTGACTCTGCACCATATGGACCGGGTATGTCTATAGCTGAAAAAGGAGGGACAACCAAAGTCAATAGATGCTGAAGAATGAATAAAGGCCTTTAGTAACACAATGGTGCACATCTTTCAATGAGGTTGAAAGGTGCATAAAAAGGAATTCTGGGAAAAGGAGAAAGAAATAGAAAAATAAATTATTCCTTTGGAATCTAGCATAAAAATGTATTTTTAATCTAGTTGACTTGGACATTTTTTTGAATACAGGCAAGCAACACAGATTCATCTGAACAACAGATATGTGGATAGAGTAGATTACCACTGAATTAAGAGAAAGAAAAGATGTTTAAAGCTATAGCCGGGATATTAATGAAACAGTCTTCAGCAGAGGAGAATCTTGTCCTAAGATTCACTATAAACATCTCTAAGACCTGCATTGTAATGATATGAAATAATTTTAAAGAGATGGCTGATTTATGATTTAAACCTTGGATGGCAGAGTTTAAGTTACCTGATTTACATTATCTCTGGCACTGCTCTCTTATGCCCTCAGGAAGGATGGTATGGAGTGGGAGGAGAACTTATGCCTGAAATGTGAATTTTCGTTATCCTCTAATGTAGGTGAAAAGATGAGAAAGGTGAACCTTCGTCTTGGAGATGTTGAGGTCCAAGAGGTATCCCACATTTCAGGGGAAACTGAGTGTATTTAATGCCCTTTGAAAAAAGTCAGCCGCTTGTGTGCTGAAGGTGGGCAACCAAAGGCAAAACATGAAAAAAATTCACATTTTTATTGTCCATTCATGTTGCTATCAGCTCCACCCTGACTGCCTGACTTTGAATATATAAATTTACAGGAACCCATCAGTTCTCAAACCCAATGAAATGGAACGGGATCTGGACTTCAACTCCTTTGAACATCTGTGAAGATTCTAGACCTGACAGGTGAACTGATAACTCTTTTGCCCTTTTCTGTCATCTGCCATTTGTGTCAGACATGAAGTACAAGCCATTCCTCAGGAAGACCTAGCCAAGGCATTGGGAGAGTATTTTAGTGAAGTATCGTGACATGTTTGCTCACATAGAATCAAGGGATTGTTCAGGATGACATCCTGAGGTGTCTAGTCCAACTTTCTGATCTAGACAGGGTCAGCTAGAAGAACAGATCAAGTCAGTTAGGATTTTAGAATCATAGAATATCCTGAACTGGATGGGACCCACACAAATCAAGTCCAACTCCTGGCCCCACACAGGACAGTTCCAAGAAACACACCATGTGCCTGAGAGCATTGTCCAAATGCTTCTTGAACTCTGGCAGGCTGGTGCTGTGACCACTTGCCTGTGGAGCCTGTTCCAGTGCCCAACCACTCTCTGGGTGAAGAACTTTTTTCTAATATCCAACCTAAACCTGCTCTGACACAGCTTCATCTTGTTCCCTCTGGTCCCATCACTCGTCACCACAGAGAAGAGATCAGACCTCACCCCTTCTCTTTCCCTCCTGCAGAAGTTGTAGACTGCAATGAGGTCTCTCCTCCGTCTCCTCTTCTCCAGGCTGAACAGACCAAGTGACCTCAGCCACTCCTCATACAGCTTCCTCTCAAGGCCTTTCACCATCTTTGTTGCCCTCCTTTGGATGCTGTCTAAGAGCTTAATGTCTTTCTTATAATGTGGTGCCCAAAACTGCCACAATATTCAAGGTGAGGCCACATCAGTGCAGAGCAGAGCAGGACAATCACCTGGACTGGCTGGTGATGCTTTGACTGAGGTACCCCAGGACACAGTTGCCAGAGCCAACCTGCCCCTGTGCTTCATCCAACTGGCTCAGAAAGGAAGCACAGAATATCACTTCTCTGGGCCATCTGTTCCACTACCTCATTGTCCTCAGGGTGACAAAGTTTTTTTTTATATTCAGTCCAACCATTTTGTTTCAATTTGTGACTGTTGTCTCTCATCATGCATTAATATGAAGAGCCTGGCTCCATCTTCTTGAAAAACTTCCCTGTAGATACTGGAAGGCTGCTATTAGGTCACCTTTAAAGTCAAATGCTTCTTACTCTTCCTAGTCTACCCACTTTAACAGACTGTTGGAGGCAGCATGCTCAAAAGGTAGTGGATTACACAAACCTTTGGTCAGGCACAGAATGGATTTTCTTGTGCTTATTGTTACAACCACCAGTTAGTCCTATTTTACTGGTAGAGATGACAAAAATATAGAGTGACAAACTTAGAAGAGGTTATTCATCGATGCATAGCTTGATTACCCTGCCTGTCAGTCTCTTCTCCCTAGTCATAAGGGACACCACTAATACAATAGGAAGCCATTGCATTAGTCATTCTCACTCAAAATCTAGTAGATAAGGTCTTGCATAATATATTGTAACATTTGTGAGAGGCAATCTTTCATCACACAGTCCAAGCCCATTTATCAGACTTGATTCCACCTACAAATCAATGTGAAGGTTTATGATTGAAAATGTTTTTCATAGAAGAGAGGATAACACTTTTTTTCACACTCTGCCTGTTCCGAGAAGGACCAGAAAAGGTCTGCTCACCATACCACTTCAAGAACTTTGCCCAGTTCATTTGACCAAAATGTTGAGCCTCTCCCAGAAGGAGCTTCTGAATAGGTTGTATTAATCACAATCTCATTCCTGCATTCTACTAGTGCATTCTTTCCTTTGAATATCTATGAGCACCCTCTCAGGGGAAGACTTAAAGGTCAGAAGTTTGTGATTACAAACAGTAATTTAATACAGTATCAGCTTGCTGCCAGGAGGAACTTTCTTTTGATATAAACAGGAGATAGTCAGCATGGCTTCAGTCTCCTTTGTTTATTTGAGAATGCTTTTTGCTCTGAGGGTATTGCTGTTTCTTAAAGCTCACAAGAAGATTCTTACAAATCTACGATCACTAAATGGAAGTGATAGGACTACAGCACTTTGCCATTAAATAAGCTTATTTTAGCAACGATAAAACCCCACCCCATCACCTATTTTTACAAGAAAGCATAAACGATCAACAGTACAGTACCATCTACTTTTGCTCAGTAGCCTCCATTTCTGACTTCGACCCAGTTTAAAAAAAAAAATGTGAAGTACAGCAGACCACTATGAAACGCATAGGCTTTCCCTCACTGCCTTATGATTCACAGTTTCAGATATGTCACAGAGTGGTTCATACTTTGGCCCATAGCTTTACTATAATGGCTGTGGGTTTAAACCTGTAGAAAACATGCACTACTTCTAAGCAATATGCAAGATATAAGCAGCTGCTACTAGGCCCATTCATTACCAAAGGACCACTATCCCCACTGGTATTTATGTTTGTATGTGTAAAAGGCTTGAACCCTCTATGATGACAGCCATTTTATCCTTGTATAAAGGCTTCCAGTAGACTGAAGTCCAGAATTCCCTATCCAAAATAATACAATTGCAAGATTGCCCGTTTGAGAAGGAAACTGCCTGGGTGGGCCATGAATTAAGTGGGCCTAGGACAATGACTTCATTTGCTTAAATAGTGTGTGCGTCAATGAAAGCAATTGCTAAATAAAGAAACCTCCCAGCAATTTTCATCCAAGTCAACATTCACAAGCTGCGGTTTAGCATTACCCTTCCTTTGTGAAGCTGTAACACATTGCAGAGGTTATGAAACTCCCAGCATTAGTATCATGAGGGTGGAGATAGGAAAGGGGTAAGGACAGTCTAAAGGAAGTTGCCATTTCTGACTTGTTGCACCTTTTCTTATTTGCCCTGAGACTTTTTACTCCAAGATGATGCCAAGAATCTGGTCAACTGGTGTTATTGTTGGATTCCAGAAGAGTAGGGAGGATATAAAAGGATTAGGGAAAATGCCTGAGGTCCCAAGGGCACTGTGAAATTTGGATAACTTTCGAGATTCACTGGCTTTTCTGCTTTGCAGGATAAGAAAGCATTTAAGCCATAAACCCTAGAGAAAAGGGAGAGGGAAGTAGCTTTTTTTGTTGTTATTTTAAGGGATGTTCTTACCTTCTCCATCGAAAATAGGCTGGGTTTCCATGGTAGGCGTTGGCTTCGAACCATCATCTGAATTGAGGGTTAAAAAGAACCGAAAAGAAACTACCATTATTGAGGTAAATACTATCTACTCTCCAGTACAGTTGAATGATTGGGATTTGTACATGGCCCGGCCAAGTCCAGAAGAGAAAGAAGACAGACAGAATGAAATCATTTTATGCTAACAGCAATAACAGTTTACATAAAACATGCATCAAGCACTATCCTTAGACTTTAAAAGCCTCCCCCCTCCCTCCACAAACCATTGGTATTTGTCACCTGGTAGTTTCCCCTTGTTGCACTGATCAAGCAATCAGCTTTTTAGTTTCAGGTCAATTTAATTTCACACAGGCCATTTCCTGAGACAGCAGAGGTCTGGAGATTGCTGTCTCATTGTGTCTTTCTCCTCATTCCTTTTGTTCAAAAGAAAACTTTTTCTGAAACTTACCTGTGTAGAACCTGGAACCAGTATTCACTGCAGAGCTGTTAGAAAGGGATGGTCAATAGCAAATCTTTTTTCTTAAAATGACTGCATCAAGGTGTTCTCTAATTGTAATGTGGTGACAATGTCTTCTAATTGCAAAATTGTGGGAAAATTACTTCTCTTACATTAGGTTTCTCATGTGCAAGAATGTTCCATGTCTTCTGACCACAATTCTTTCATAATTAAAAGCTTCAACCAAAAAAGTGTTCCACAGGAAATATAAATCTTGATATTTAGAGATCGACCACAGAGAGAAGTGTTTAGTTTACAATTTCTTTGGCTTAGTACACCTATCCATCATATCTACAGGTCCAGCCTGGATTCAGGCTGAGTCAAATTTCCTCAGGGCTCAGAGGGACCCAGATTTCAAGTCCCAGCTTGGAGCATCTTTACACAGCACTAGAATATTGACATAGCTTTTAGTGAGGCAAAAATTTTGACTGTGAGCAAGCTTAACTGGAAAAAGCTGCAGAGCAAAGTCTCTTATTACAAGGCAAGATTAGAAAATAGAACGTTATCGGCAGTTAAACTAAAAATGAGAATAGCCTAGTGTATTGGGTTTGTGTGGCCAGCTTTTGGTAGTGGTGGTGGGGGCTACCAGGGTGGCTTCCGTGAGAAGCTGGTAGAAGCTTCCTCCATGTCCAGCAGAGCCAATGCCAGCTGGCTCCAAGATGGACGTGCCACTGGCCAAAGCCAAGCCAATCAGAAATGGTGGTAATGCCTCTATGATAATGTATTTAAGAAGGAAAACTAAGTTGTTGTGCAGATATAATTGCAGCCAGAGAACAGCAGAGTGAGAATATGTGAGAGGAACAACTCTGCAGAGAGCAAGGTCAGTGGAGAAGGAGGGGCAGGAGGCTCTAGGCACCAGAGCTGAGGTCCCCCTGCAGCCCGTGGTGCAGACCATGGTGAAGCAGCTGTGCCCCTGCAGCCCATGGGGGATCACAGGGATGCAGAGATCCACCTGCAGCCTGTGGAGGAGACCCATGCTGTAGTAGGTGGATGCCTGAAGGAGGCTGTGAACCTGTGGGCAACCCATGCTGGAGCATGGTCCTGGCAAGGACCTGCTGACCCATGGAGAGAAGAGCCCATGTTGGAGCAGGCTTTCCTGGTAGGATTGTGGGCCTGTGGGGGACCCACACTGGAGCAGCCTGTGCCTAAAGGACTGCACCCCATGGAAAAGTGACCCACATTGCAGCAGTTTGTGAAGAACTGTTGCCCATGGGAGGGACTCATGTTGGAGAACTTCATGGAGAACTGTCTCCCCTAGGAGGGACCCCACACTGGAGCAGGGGAAGGACTCTTCTCCCTGAGCAGCCTGAGTAGGAACTTGTGATGAACTGACCATAACCCCCATTCCTGGTCTACCTGTGCTGCCTGGGGGCAGGAGGTAGAGCTCAGAAGGAAGAAGGGGTGGGGGAAGGTGCTTTTAAGATTTATTTCTCGTTATCCGGCTCTGATTTTATTAGTAAAAAATTCAGGTAATATCCCCAAGCTGAGTCTGTTTTGCCTATGATGGTGACCAGTGAGTGATCTCTTCCAGACCTTATCTCAACTCATGAACCCTTTGTTATATTTTCTCCCCTCTCCAGTTGTAGTGGGGAGAGAGCAGCTTTAGTGGGTGCCTGGCATCCAGCCAGGGTCAACCTACTTCACCTGGAATTGTCAGGTTTTTTTTTTCCTTTTGAAATATAGGAACTTAAAACTTGCAATTTCTAGTAACTATTTTTTGCACGTGTTATGGGCAAAAATGACACTAGGCATCAAAGTGGGCAGTAACCCAAAACATAAAGTTACACAGTGAAAATCTGTTGGAGGGAGGAGTCCATGCCAGAAAAGATAGGCTTGCCTCCATGTCCATGGCCAACAGATGCACAGGGCAAACAATATTTGGAGGAAAGGTACATGGGACAGAGGTAGCAGTAACTGCCCTTAGCCTCCCCTTGTATCAGTTCCATTTACAAAAGTAAGAGACCATTGGAACAGGAAAGAAAGGGCAGAAGGGGAAACAGAAGCTTGAAGACTTTTTTTACCCATACCTGTATTTGCAGTTTTATCAAGTGAGCAAAAGTCTGAACACCTCTTCCACTTTTCCTTCATTTTATGCATTTCCACATAAAGTAATCTAACTCACAGAAAGCAAAAACATGCTGATAATTCCATTTCAACCTCAGAGATACACTGAAGTAAAGGAGGTTGACAGAAATGAGCGAGAGACGCCTTGTTGTCATTTTCCCTCTTCATCATTGTATTTGGTTTTATGCTTAACTGCAAACATAACAAAAAATACTTGGAAGAAAAATTCTTACCATTCCTCAGTCAACTCTTGTTCTGAGCTTTCCTGTTATTGGGCATTGCCAGTTACATGGATAGGCAGTACTTTTTCTTTTTTTAGGTTTGAGCAACTGACTTGGAAAAAACCCCTGAATATTGTTTAAATTACAAGGAGGAAGATTCTGCCCTTTAAAAAATCTTTGGATAAAAGTAAATAGCTGATCTTGACTTTTTTGTTAGAGTAGGCTGCTCTGTTTCTGCAAGATTCCAGAAGCCACAACTATGGCTTGTTATTTATTTAGGATGACACTTTATACTGTAAAAAAGCAGTGAACAGTATGTAATTAGCATGATTCGTTTTACAGATTGAGAAACCAACCCAAAACTGCTGAAGACACTCATAGAACAACTGTAAAGTGAATAATTCTTAAGTTATACAAAAAAGGAAGAGACCTGACATAAAAGACCAGTATGATAATAAGTTTCTTCTTATTGTTCTCATGAATGCTTCTGCACCACGTAATTACAGAATTGCTTTTCAGATTTAAAGCAGCAACCCAGAAGCCAACAATGGGAAAAAATTAGAAGTGGATTTGAGCCACAGCACTTTATCCAAACCATTATGTGAACTTTGGCAGAACTAAGGATACTTCAGGTTCAGGGGAGTTCTTTTAGATTCGTGTATGTGAGAAGAACACAGCAGCAATTACAATTTGTGAAATACATTCTTCTTAAAGAAAGAGAATTTTGCAGCAGCTTATGTATGAAGCTAGGCATTAAGCTACTGAAGTGTATTAAATAAACCCCTCAGTTCAAAGCTACCGTTTAAGATAATCTCGGTAAAATGGCTCAGTGAATTACACAATCATTTCCTTACTGGGATACTAAGACCAAATTGTCACTAAGTCCACATTGTAGCAGCACCCAGTACAGTATTCAGGGTTTTGTAAATATAGGGAAGTATAATTACTCCCCTGTTGTTTAAGCAAGTACAGTTCTTTCATCACACATACAAGAAAAAAATGCAATAGACAAGAGCCCTGTAATTACATTCACCATTTTTCAAAAATCAAAAGCCAAGGATATTTCTGATTATTTTTTAAAGGTCATGAAATAGTCACATAAAAGACAAAAATTGCACTTCATTAAAAACACCATGCTTACTTCCCAGGTGCCAGCTTCTTACTCTGAAATTACCAAATCTTTTTCTTAAACTGGAGAATTCTCAATAGGTCTCAGTGTTTCAAGCTAGCTTATGGCAAAAAATTTCCCTGCTGTTCCCATTGGGCAGAAAAACCACCCCAACACTTGTCTACTCTTATTTGATTTTTCCTCTCATTCAATACTCCGTTCATCACACTGAACATTTGTTCCACTGGCCTGTTGGCTCCTCATAAACAAGGAATAAGTTCTATTTTACATACCTGAAAATTTTGAACAAACAAACACTATACAGAATATCTCTTCTTGGGACAACATTTTAAAGCTACAAAACTCCTCTCCAGTGAGTTTCCTTTTCCTAGGGTACACTTGTAAGAGTTAAACAAATTTTTCTGGCTCAATTGCTGTCAACTTTAAAATGGTATTTTTATCTTGCCACAGGATAAGAGTAAAATAGGCAGGTCAAAATGAGATTCCGTAAGCCATTTGCACATTAAGACACCACGGCTATAAACCAGAAGCCCACTTGCACTACTGCTGTCAGAAGCTCATAAGCAAGAACAGTTTTTATTGCATTGGCCTAACAATAACTCAAAACAGGGACAGTTACTTGCATGTCCTGATCTACCGCTAGTGCTGGGCAAGAACTTCATGATCTCACCAGGATTCCCCTCCCTTAGACTTATCCTTGCAGAATAACTAGCAAGGATCCACATCTGAAATGACTGCAGCATACACTGGGGTTGAGGGACAAGGAGATTCGGTTCATGCAAAAGACAACTGTTAAAGTGAACTTTTTGCTCTAAATGACAAGCTCTGAGGCCAGGAGCAGCTCTTTATGTCAGGAGAAAACTAAACTCCCTGACGTAAAAAAGCATTAATTACTATGAAAAAATGTGAAGTAACTGCCTGCTGCTGTGAATCAACTTTCTTACCTCAAGCCACCTAATGGAAGCCAGATAAAGGGGAAAAGTTAGGAGATAAAAGTGATGTACGGAAGGTTGAGGTTGCTTAGGAAGCGTATAGGTCTTGGTCTGTTAACGTGATGATGCAAGTATACAGACGACTTTTGCAGTGGGTGTATCTTCCTGGTTAGGAGATGTGATATGGGAAGTTAGTTTTGTGTTCTCAGTGGAATCCATGA